TAATGCACCATAATACATTCTGACGAAAAATAAAAATTATTATGAATACAAATAAAATAAAAGAAGCCTCCCGTGAGTTACTACAAGCTATAAAGTAGATTTTAAAAACGTTTTATAGAATAAAAGCTCACTGCAGGACGTTGTAGAAATGCGTGTGTGCACCACGACAAAAGAGCCTCATTCACTTTACATTGGGGTTTTTTGCGTGGTGCCGACACGTAAATGTAGCAGAATGCGTGACTCCACCACGCAATGCGGTGTTAAGGAGTCGTGGTAGAGTCACGCATTCTGGTGAGATCAGGTTGGTTCAGTACTACATGAGTTTCTCTTTACCCATGCATGGACAATAACAACGGACCATATCGCCTTACTGCCAGCCCACGGAGCTGTAATAATGGATATATTGCACGTTTGCTGTAATTCATCATTTGTAAAATATTATACTACATGGGCTGTATGATGTAAATCTTGTACCGTAAATGTTGTATTAAACAAAGTTAATATTACCGACGTAGATTAACGTTCCTGTAGCTTCTACTTGCAATTGTTTTAGTTACTTGTGGGCTACTTAACATGAATAATCACAGTTACTATCCTTTTACTCCATCACATTTCAAAAAGAAATAGGCTATTGTTATTTTAACTCCACCACAGTAATCCATCATCAGCTTTACTTTTTAAATAAAGTTTTAACTCACAATTGATCATAACAGGCTTCAACATATACATTTTTATATATTACCAAGTGGTTTCATGTACAACCCACACAAGTATCATGCTAAATGAAGCTCTGTTGCTTGGATATCACTAGATCCTGATGTCAGCGTAATATAAAAGTACATAACGATTGATGTGTAACTTAGCATAATTTACTAGCTAGCCGCTAGCTGCCGCCTCGTTCATATAAATCCAGTACCATGCTGTCATGAACGCGCGGTGCTGTTACGTGTACGTAAATTCACGTGCTTAATGTGAACGAGCCTTTTGGGCGGCGTGGATAAAGTTGCGCATGCTCGATGAGTGCACATACGGGTACTTCTCAGGCATGCCGGGTAATCTGTGACGTTTCGCTCTCTCAAAAGTTGGGCCATTTTGTCATCATGCGCCATTGAGCAACTCTCATAGGAATTAATGAGGCCCCGCCTCCCACGCTGTATCCAGTTCTTATTATACATCCATGGGTTCAACGCATGGATGTATAATAAGAACTGGATACAGCGTGGGAGGCGGGGCCTCATTCATTCCTATGAGAGCTGCTCATTAGCGCATGATGATAAAATGGCCCAACTTTTGAGAGAGTGAAACGTCACAGATTACCCAGCATGCCTGAGAAGTACCCGTATGTGCACTCATAGAGCATGCGCAACTTTAACCAAAATGCTCGTTCACATCAAGCACGTCAATTTGCGTACACGTAACAGCACCGCGCGTTCATGACAGCATGGTAATAGATTGTTGTTATCATGGATTTGATATGAACGAGGCGGCAGTTAGCAGCTAGCGGCTAGCTAGTAATGATGCTAATGTACACATCAATCGTTATGTACTTATATTACGCTGTAACAGGATCTAGTGATATCCAACAGAGCTTCATTTAGCATGAAATAATGATTGCACTGTATATATATATATATATATATTTATATATAGCCTATTTATATACAGTGCAATAAGCTTCTTAGTGCAATACGAAGCTACAGGGACGTTAATAATGTCGGTAATATTAACTTTATTTAATACAACATTTACGGTACAAGATTTAATCATACAGCCCATGTATGATAATGAATTACAGCAAACATGTGCAATATATCCATTATTACAACTCCGTGGGATGGCAGTAAGACGATATGGATCCGTTCTTATCCATGGGTAAAGATAAACGCAACTCACATTGGTTTCTCATACAGCATCTCTGTAAACTACGTGTATTCACTGAATTTCACTCTCTGCCTTTAACGGCTCGTTGTAGCTCCAATAGCTCCAGCCCCACCCTCCCTGTGAGCACAGTGTGCTCTGATTGGTCGGGACACGTAACATGAACGTGCCGGGCGGCGCGGTCCCGTGGGTTAGATGCGCGTTCATAATGCAGAGGGAAATAACTCTCAGAATAACGTTATTAGCACATTTTTACAACTTGAGGAATGAATGTTTTTAATAAGGGCTATACAAGTGTTCATACTGGGTAGTTTATTTAGTTTTAAAAAAAGTATCCAACGAGTTACAGACCACTCTTTCCCCATGTAAGTCAATGGGAAAAAGTGTTTCCGGGCCTGGCAACCAAACGGAAGTGTAGTACCGCCGTTTGGCCAGCACGAATATTTTCATCTTAGTCCGGCACACTTCCTGGGGGCTTGGTTCAACGCCCAAATGACAATATTTTTGAACTATTTCGATGTGCATACCCCGGAAGTAGGCGCCGCCATTTTTTACAACGGAGGTCTATGGGAGTGTCTTAACTCTTATCTCTCTAGGGCTCTGACCGAAGTGAAACGCACCCCAGGACATCATTTCATTCAAATGACTCCATTGAGCGGTCTGGTTTGTGTAAAGCTCATATTCAATTAAAATACAGCGTATTTACTCTAGAGACCTTGTATTCAAATGTGTGATTTATACAATTAAGGTGAGACACCCCAGGTGAATAGGGTAATTTGTTTAACTTAAAGGTATCAGCTAGACATTTCTCTAGTTAATTACTTACAATAAGGCAATTGTTTTTTGTATTACAAGTTTTCGGAAATAGCATGTTTAAATATGCAAATTATCATTATCTCATTAAATATGCACATATTTTAACACATTTCAGGAATCGAAATCTGAACTTTGGATAAAGCCAGGTTCAAAATTCTTGTTTCATTTTGTAGTCATATTAGCATCTAAGGCTTTTACAGAATGGATATTGGATATCTCTTTTTATCACTCCATAAATCAGAAAATATTGTCAACAGCCCTAAAATATCAATTTTCGCCATGTTTTTAGGTATACAATGTTGTATAATTCAGGCTATGAATGATATATTAACAAACTCTTCTGTAAAAGCCTTCATAATATTGATAGGAATATAACTGGAAGGTTTGGTGTCTCTACGTGCTACTGAAGTTCAAATTTCGAACTCGGAGTAGGAGAAAAAACTAATTTTGAGAAAACGACCTTTAAAGATTGCAGTGAGGCGCTAGCTAAACCTTCTTTGGATGATAGCTTGCGCATCGACGCACTCTGTGAAGGTATTTCATGTTCGGGGTCATTTGTTTTTTGTATAACCTTGCTTCGTGCAAGTGACAATTGTTGTCGTCTTTGTCACTGTCACTACCCGATCTGCAGCTCTGCCCGATCTGCATGGTCCGCCATATTGGACAACTCCGGACGGCAACCCAAGTAGAACAACATTGACACAGTGGCTTTTGGCAAAGCTCAAAAGGAAAACTCGAGAGAGATGAGTTATTGTTATTACAACGTGACTTCACTATTATTTAACAACTCTTTTTATTGGGTTCTTTTATTTGGGGTTAAGTACATTGTCAGAATAAGTGAGAAATGGATGTAACTTCTGTTAGACAGCCATATGCCATACATTTTTGCACACATTCACAGTAAATATGTATTCAGTATGATAGCTGTCTAACAGAAGTTACATCCATGTCTCACTTATTCTGACAATGTACTTAACCCCAAATAAAAGAACCCCATAAAAAGAGTTGTTAAATAATAGTGAAGTCACGTTGTAATAACAATAACACATCTCTCTCTCGTTTTAGTTTGAGCTTTGCCAAAAGCCACTGTGTCAATGTTGTCCTACTTGGGTTGCCGTCCGGAGTTGTCCAATATGGCGGACCATCTCGCACATGCGCACTGCAGATCGGGTAGTGACAGTCTTCTCTGTGAACGTTTTTTTCGCCGTTCTTTTGCCATTTTGAGATTTCTAGCGGAAAGCTAACCAGGAAGTGTTTTAGCACACCACGTGACGCATCTGAACGAATCATGTTGTCAGAAATTGACACCAGCCAATGAGATTTCGTTTATTGGTTTAAGACCCCTTTGTGCTTTCACGATTGGTTGCTGATACAAAGGAAATGAACATATTTGGATCCAATGAGATTGTGCAGGAGAGACACAGCTTTCCAGCGATACCTCTGTTGACATGTTGCACACAGCGGTCGCGGTACTTTATGTTACGTTAGAATGCTAACTTTTGGTGAATTTAGGAGAAATCTACAGACGCAAATAGACAAACTATAGTAAAATAAACACTTAAATGTGTATTTTGTACGTTTTCCTTCCAAAAGCCTGAAAGAAAACATGTTATAGAATCAAAATAGCTCAAAATTGACCAGTAGGCCTACTTGAAAAGCGATGTTTTTGCCTGCCGTGTCTCACCTTAACAAAAAAACCTAATATGAATGAAAACCCTTTGGAAGTACATTAAAGGCATATATTTTGCAACCTTGGATGGATGTATGATCTATTCGATTTACACACGTCAGTCCGTCCTGGGAGAGGGATCCCTCCTCTGTTGCTCTCCCTGAGGTTTCTCCCATTTTTCCCCTTAAACTGTGGGTTTTCTCTGGAAGTTTTTCCTTGTACGATGTGAGGGTCTAAGGACAGAGGGTGTCGTTTTTCTCATACTGATATTCTGCACAAACTGTGCTGTTGTATTTACTGTAAAGTGTCTTTACTGTAGGGTATTTTTATTATATGTATTTTTGGCTCGACCAAAAATAGTTTAAAAATGTGCTATATAAATAAAACTTGATTTGATGGACAATTAAAAAGGACCATTATTGTGGCATAATGTACTCTAATAATATTGTTCCAATTTCAAAAGTTCTCAAATGAGATTTCTGATGCAACCACTGTGGAAGCGTCCATTGAGATAACATAAACCGTTTGTCCCTGACCTCCATCACTACTGTGATCAACACCTTCTGGAAGCCCTCAGTGAGTATAGCAGCGTAATGTTAATCAATTCCATTTCTCATTATGGGATGACAACGCACAGTAGGAATACAATGACGTTTTATTACCATGAGGTCAAAGACATTCATTTCAGAGAATTGCACACAAATTAAGCAATATTGATACAATGCACACAGGAAGCAGGTTGTAACAGAACATGTCTCAGAACAATGACATTACACATTTTCTTTCTTCTTACATTTACAGGTTCCTCAAAAGGGTTCCAAATTTGAGGAGCCTTCAATATAACGTCAAATCCCTTGGCAGTAATGAAAATTGTCTTCATTGAAGACAGAACCCCTCTGCGGGTGAAAGACATCACTTTCAGAACTGCCAACCTGTCCAACGAGGGCTCAAACCGGAGACTGGTGGGGTTAGGAGAAGGTGGAGGGTCAGAAACAGACACATTAACATCGCATTCCTCGTAGCAAGTGTGAATAGGATACAAAAAACAAGATCATTACATTAATTTATAGTTATAGTAGTTTCTCTAACTGCTGGATAAAATAAAAGTAAAAGTATTAGAGTGTACTCTGTTACAGTAAAAGTCCTGCATTCAAAATGTTACTCAAGTAAAAGTATACAAGTATGATAATCAAAATATAGTGAAAGTAGCGACAGTAAAAGTAGTCATTGTGCAGATTGGTCCATTTCAGAATAATATATATGATATGTTTTATAATGATTGATCATGAAAGTGTTCTCAAAGCTGGTAAAGGTGCAGCTAATTTTACAAATTAGATCAAAGTCAAGTAAAGTACAAATATCTCAAAATTGTACTTAAGTAGAGTACTTGAATAAGTGTACTTAGTAACTTCCCACCTCTGAAATCAGATATGACTTCAAGTCATGTGATCATTTCTTAGTATTTGATCCTTCAACTTGGCCTCAGGAAATGCAAGGACTTCACAGTTTTGGCAACAAGTTTTGGAGAAAGCAAATCGGAGGCTTACAAAGAGACAGGGAGGTGCATCTTCATCATCTGCATCATCTAGCATGCAAGAAGTGTAAATAGAGGACAGTGAAGGAGACACTGAGGAGGACCACGCTTCGTGTGGGGTGAGTACCAAACGCTGTCTCCTGGTACTCATCTGAGTAACTCACTAAACAAGTGATGTGCACCCCTGATTATAATACTGTCTCTGCTGACAGATCAAGGGACAGAGCTCAGTACCTGTCTGGGTTTAGGAACCGTTGCTGTTGGGTCCTCAGGAGGATGTGATGGAACCACTTTTTATTACTTTCGCCAGATCTTCAGTGCTGATCCTCACACGTTTCAGGGGGATGAAACACTCTTTCATAACCTGTGGAAATCAACTTAGTAAACAGGCAAATACTGCACGTATCAACATCAATAAACAAATCTATATGTAAACATTGAAGTATACCGGAAGCATAACAAACCTGCGGCTGAACCCTCCTCCTTCTGTTAGTCTCCACGGACTGTTGAGGCCCCTCAGGGTGCCCCTCTCCCTCAGGGTGCCTCAGCTGTAAGATAAGACAAACGGGTTCCTGCACTGCCAATATCCATGAAATGACATTCTGGATGTGTCGTTTTGGGGATAGGGACGGTACCGTTGGTCCAGTATAGGGACAACACTCATGTAGCCCACTAGCCCCTGCCTCAGTGATGTGTGTCCTTATATTTAATATAATTAGTATTATTTATATAGTTGTTTTTATTTTCTCATTAAGTATATAATTGTGGGTGTATGTTTATGTGCATATTACATACTATAATAATATATTATTATTAGTTGTAGTAAAACTGTATTGCTAATGATTTGCGAACGCTACTGTAATTGTTTGTATCTACACATTTTCATGTGCTCTGTTCAGCATAATTGCTAAATTAATAAAAATAAGAAACACAACAACGCTCCCTGATCATTCAAATGTAAATTCCTTAAGAAAAGCTTTTCCCATAAATATCTTAACCCCTACAGTGTGAAGGCCATTACCTGCCAGCTCTGTCCTTCAGGCTCTGCCTTCACATCGGGCCCCGGAGCAGGTCCCCGGGGGGGCGGTGGTGACCCCAGGTGCAGAGAGGTGGCAGTCCAGATCAGCTGCAGCAGGAGGGGCATCCCCGCATCGTCACTCAAATGAATCTGCACACATAGGCAATTACAAAAACACTTCAGACGTTTTACTCACAAAACCTCGGCCATAACCTGCAGAAATGTGAATCGACATTTCCCCTTCACAGATAACTTACCCCATCTTTGGCCCACAGGTCATGGCAGTTTGCAGGAAAGTGATTATGAATGGAAAAGTATTGCAGACCTTCAAAAAATTTACATAGAAATGTCAGAGCATTTTCTTACTTATTAATTAAACAACATATCGTATAAAACCCCTTGTTGTTGTTGCTACTTTCCTTTCATTATTCTGAAATGGACCAATCTGCACAATGACTACTTTAACTATATTTTGATGATATTACTTTACTTTTCTTTTTTAAATGCAGTATTTTTACTTGTAACAGAGTATTCCTACACTCTGGTACTTCTACTGTTACCTAAGTACAAGATCTGAGTACTTTTTCCACATCTGCGTATATCTTTACTTGCCTAAATGTACCGCCAAGTTAGGCGCAGACTAGAATGTTCATTCGGTTTTGTGAGTTTATTTATGTGAGTAAATGACAGCTCGACAGCGGCTCCTTCTTGCACCATAGAGAGGATACTGACCTTCTACAGGTGCACCATAGAGAGGATCCTGACCTTCTACAGGTGCACCATAGAGAGGATCCTGACCTTCTACAGGTGCACCATAGAGAGGATCCTGACCTATAGGTGCACCATAGAGAGGATCCTGACCTTCTACAGGTGCACCATAGAGAGGATCCTGACCTTCTACAGGTGCTCCATAGAGAAGATCCTGACCTACAGGTGCACCATAGAGAGGATCCTGACCTTCAGGTGCACCATAGAGAGCATCCTGACCTTCTACATGTGCTCCATAGAGAGGATCCTGACCTTCAGGTGCACCATAGAGAGCATCCTGACCTTCTACATGTGCTCCATAGAGAGGATCCTGACCTACAGGTGCACCATAGAGAGGATCCTGACCTTCTACAGGTGCACCATAGAGAGGATCCTGACCTTCTACAGGTGCACCATAGAGAGGATCCTGACATTCTACAGGTGCACCATAGAGAGGATCCTGACCTTCTACAGGTGCACCATAGAGAGCATCCTGACCTTCTACAGGTGCACCATAGAGAGCATCCTGACCTTCTACAGGTGCACCATAGAGAGGATCCTGACCTTCTACAGGTGCACCATAGAGAGGATCCTGACCTTCTACAGGTGCACCATAGAGAGCATCCTGACCTTCTACAGGTGCAGAAAGGATCCTGACCTTCTACAGGTGCTCCATAGAGAGGATCCTTACCTTCTACAGGTGCACCATAGAGAGGATCCTGACCTTCTACAGGTGCACCATAGAGAGTATCCTGACTGGCTGCATCACGGCCTGGTACGGCAGCTGCCCCGCCCTTAATCATAAGACTCTACAGAGGGTGGTGAAAACTGCACAGCACATCACCAGGACGGAGCTGCCATCCATGGAGGACCTGTACTCCCAGCGGCTCAGGAAGAAAGCCCTCAGGATTATAAAAGACCCCCATCACCCCAGCCACAAACTGTTCAGTCTGTTGCCGTCTGGCAGGCGGTACCGAAGCATCCGGACTAAAACCACCAGACTCAGGGACAGCTTCATCCCACAGGCCATAAGACTGTTAAACAACTGAACCTTTTCAATAAACTATCAATAAACAATTCATCTGTTTGCATTAGGGTTGGGAACCAAAACTCGGTTCCAGATGAGAACCGATAAGAAAATGCCGGGTACCGGGTACCCATAGAAAATACACAACAATAAAAGGCCACTCTGAAACGTGCAGTTTTGCTTTATTGGGGGGGTCTGGGGGGTCCGAAAACCAGTCAGTATCTGGTGTGAGGGGTAGGGTTAGGGTTAGGGTAATGTTGTGAATCGAGTGGCCCATGGTGGTGGTGGGGTTATGGTATGGGCAGGCGTATGCAGTACTCGAGTTGAGGGGGGATGAGGGGGGATGGCATCCCCCCTGAAATAAAAACGGTCAAAATCATCCCCCTTCTAAAACTGCCATTCCCCCTTTCCATCCCTTATGTCATTTTATCAATGAACGTGGCACTGGTATTACTGCTATTTCAACATTAATTTTGCGCATTTTGAGTAAAATACTGTGGGCGAGGGAGCACGCACACATGCAATGACATTTTTACCAAGTCACTGACGCTATACTATGCGAGTGCCCTAGAGGGCGCCAGAGCGCCGTGATGCGCCTATTTGATCGATGCCAGAAGCGCAGGTAACGGTCATCACAATGGCCAAGCGACCAGGAGGACAACGCGATCTGAGGGACTTCATATTTAAAAATACTAAAAATAACATTTCAGGTAAGTCAAGAGTCAGTAATCTTACTCATTACTTTAGTCACCAAAGGTGGAATCTATGGACATAAGCAGCAATAACAACTTAGTTTTGAGTTATACGTTTTTCTCTCGTGTTAGTTAGCTGGTAAGACTCAAAACTGTTGATGAAATGATACCACCAGCACCAGAAGAGCTGAAACCCCTCCTTCAAGCAGTGAACACTCTGGTCATCTCCACAGCTGAGTGTGAACGTGGGTTTAGTCAAATGAACATTTTAACCACAACTAGAAGCTCCCTGGAGGTAAAAAGCATGTCAGCCTTGCTTTTCATCAAGTGTTGGCCCTCCACTGAACAAGTTCAGACCAGAGGTATATGTCAAGACTTGGCTTCAAAGCCATTGCTTAGCTAACAATCCGAAAGCAAGAGCCAGAAAAATTGAGACCAAAAAGCATGATTATGAAAATCTTTGGAAACTTCTATGAGATGGGGGAGAGTGGAATCGGCAGCCATTGACAACATTGGTCCTATTTTGTATTATCTGTATAATCTTTTAATATATTTTCATATTTTGTAAACAATTTCAATTTGCACTTAATGCCCTGTTAAAAAAAGTAACATTGGGAATGTTAACATAAAATATTTGTATTTGAACTGCAATAAAATGATGACGGATCAATATTTTTTTTTTAAATGTCCTCACATTTTTCATGAAGAATTTACATAATGATTTAATTAATTACGATACAAATGTAACACTTTAGATACCAGTTTTGATCGTATACCAGTAACTGCTTTTTTGAAAAAATACACTATAATTCAATATTCTAAAAACTATTTTGACTTTATTATTAGTATAATCAGTTGATCATCTGAATAATAAATGAGGGACTGTTAATCTACAAGATTTGTACCATAGACTTTCATTATAACCACATTTTTGTATCCCCTCCCCCCCTTTAAATTAAAGTGAAAAAAAGATTTAGCACTAATTGTCCTCTGCATTTGACCCTAAATGTTAGTGGTGCCATGGCAGCCCGGGGACCGACTCTAATTCTGAGGTGCCTTGGTCAAGAGCAATGACAGGAGTATCTGAACATCCATAACATGCATGTTGTTTTAGGAGTATAATAATTATCTTTATGCTGGTTGGTCTCCCACCCTCGGCGGGTTATCAGCACATGTCCCCATATGATAAAATCCACCATCCCCCCTGATTTTTTTTTACAACTTGAGTACTGGGCGTATGTAATGGACGACGAACACAGGCCACTCGATTCACAACATTACCCTAACCCTACCCCTCACACCAGATACTGCCTGGTTTTCGGACCCCCCCAGACCCCCCCCAATAAAGCAAAAATGCACGTTTCAGAGTGGCCTTTTATTGTGGCCAGCCTAAGGCACACCTGTGCAATAATCATGCTGTCTAATCAGCATCTTGATATGCCACACCTGTGAGGTGGGATGGATTATCTCGGCAAAGGAGAAGTGCTCACTATCACAGATTTTTCAGATTTTTGAACAATATTTGAGAGAAATGGTTATTTTGTGCATATAGAAAATGTTTTAGATCTTTGAGTTCATCTCATAAAAAATGGGAGCAAAAACAAAAGTGTTGCGTTTATATTTTTGTTCAATGTATATATTTTATTCGTAAAAATGTCAGTTAAAGCTTAAAAGAATAAAGATATTTTTGTTATCTAAACGTTTGACCTCTTTCTTTTACACTTTTGGAATCGAAACGGGGAATTGATAAGAACCGGAATCGATAAGCAGAACCGGAATCGGAATCGATAAATTTCAAACGATATCCATCCCTAGTTTGCATCTTGCTAATTATTTATCCAATATATCATATTCCATTTACTTGTATATGGACTCTTATTTCACTATTTCTATTTGATTTGTATTTACTTGCACATCTCAAAACATTGGTGTTCTCCTGACTGTTCTCCTCACTGTCTTCCTCTCTGTCAGACATGGTAGCTGATGATGTAGGCCTACTTCTTCCTCTCTGGTTGAGTCTGTGATTAGCTGCTTGCATCCACAAGTCAACAGCTGGTTTTGGGTCGAAAGTCTCTGTTGTCATCTTAGACAAGTGGATGTAATCAAATAAGTATGTGAACATAACCAATAACCTACCATAGCTAATAACAAATGAATGTAACTTATTTTATTTGTGTTGTTCATTCATATCTTATTTTACCTTAACATTTATTTATGCATTTTTCTTTATCTCCAGTTTTAAAGGATATTTTTGGTTACTGTCCTATAGTATACATTGGAATGATTTAAAACCTGTTTATCCCAATAATTATAAAGGAGTGCCTTGGAAATATGTGTTTACATAAATTGTGACCAAACTGTTTGAACTTAGACTAAAGCAGCGTTTCTCAAAGTGTGGGGCGCGCGAATGGACGCGATGAACGGGAGATTTTTTTTTTTTTATTTAAAAAAAATAAAAATGTTTTGGACCTCAGGCCGGAATCGAACCTGGGTCCTCACGGGCGGTAGTGGATTATTACAGCCGGAGACTCGCAACGGCGGTGGACTTTCATAGCAACGGCGGTGGACTTTCATAGCACCGCTGCACCGGACCTGCCGGAGCCGCCAGAGCCTCGCAACGGCGGATGCGGTACCGGCGGATGCGGTACCGGCGCAGCGGCGCTGTGAAAGTCCACGGCCCACCTATGCCAGAGCCAGCGGCCCACCAACGGCAGCGGCCCAACGGGAAAAGTCTCGAATCTCCTGATGGCCAATCCGAGCCTGCTCACACACACACAACTGAAACCAAAGTCATTTGCAGACATGTGTAAAAATCTCTCATACACACATGTGAAATGCTCTCACACACACACACACAAACAGCGTTGCAGTCAGGAAGAAAAGCAATGTGGTGCGATACCTCACCACTTCATAAGGAGTTTAACCTTGACGCTTTTCGAAATCCCGTTTGTGTCCCCCCATTTTACAAATAGGCCTATGTTTATTATTATCTTTTAACTAGGGCCGGGACTCGATTAAAAAAATTATTCTAATTAATTAGAGGCTTTGTAATTAATTAATCGAAATTAATCGCATTTTTAATCACATATAAATATTTGACCTAAGAACAGTGAGAAGCAATTTTTTTCACATGGATTTTAGTATACCATTAGGCGCATTCACACCGCAGTACTTTTCCCACAAAGGTTCATGAGAATTTAGTTCATGAGAACTCTTTGAACCTGGGGGTGGATTAGTCAAATTAAGCCGCTGACGTCACTTCTTCTTCTTCTGCTTTGGGTTTACTGGCAGGCCGCAAACCACTTCACGGCGTATACTGCCGCCCAAAGTCCCCGGCCGGAAGTCCCCGGAGTTGGGGACTGGCTTCAGTAGAAGCTGCTGGGAGTCCCAGCAGCCTTCCGAGTAAATCGCCAGAACGCCGACACCTCCTCATCTCCACCGCTCCCATGTTTTATTTTGTGTTGCCATAAGTTAGTCTCTCTGCGTTTCTGCGCTGGGCTAATGCTAATAATGCTAATGCGAGGATAATAAAATGGCGGCTTCACAAAACTTTTTGGGAGTTTTACGGGGCGTGGTTTGCAATCCGCCCAGCCAATCAGAAATATAGCTCTTTTCTCACAAGAGAGCCGTACGAAAGTCCCTGCTCTCTAGCAGCTCTCTGCTCTCTAGCAGGGACTTTCGTGGGGGTAAAAAGGTTCTCATGAACTAATTTTAGTACCGGCTCTTTTTGGTGTGAACGCGATAAAAGAGGCTAACGTCCACGCTAGCTTCCACGCTAGCTACTATATGTTTTGCATTGAGGTGATACTTGAGGCTTGATGTGCTGCGGTGATATGCAAATTCCTTTTTGCATAATTTGCACACAACCGTGCTCTTATCGACGCTTCCATCCGTCCGTTTTTTAAAACAACATTTTCCACTGTTGTTCACTGTGGTTTGTTGTTGTCTGAAGTCATGAACGTTAGTTGGTGCTCCAGTATAATCGGTACGCCTGAAACTCATCCAGTGAGAAACGTTCCGCGGTGCAAAAATAAGTGCGATTAAAATGCGTTAATTTTTTTAACGCGTTAATTGTTGTGTAATTAATTAATCTTAATTAACGCGTTAAAGTCCCGGCCCTACTTTTAACGCAAGCCATCATCGCCACGGAGGAGCACACAGCCTCTGTGAGCGAGCGAGACACACACACACAGACAGAGACAGAGACAGAGACAGAGACAGAGACAGAGAGAGAGAGAAAGAGAGAGAGAGAACCTTTATCTATTTAATATAGCCTAGTTGTACAAGATAAAGTAAGAAATCATTCCAATGTGTACTATCGGACAGTAAACAGTTTAAAAGGGGAGTGATTAGTAATGCATACATTAAAAGAAAGAATGCTAACTAGGTAACATAAGATAAGAATAAACCAGTTTAAATGATTTGTTATTGTGATCATATTCTAAAGATGTTTGGATTATTGAAAAGTATACAGCTCCCTTTCATCTGAGTGTTGAGAGATGTATCCATAAATTCATTTTGTGCTCAAAGTGCACCAGATTGATGCATTTAACTTCAACATTTAACACTAGAACCGCCAGAGGTCGCTGTATACCTAAAACCGCCAACGGGTAAAATGTACCCGCTATTGATTTGCAAGGTACAATGTTCTTTTATTTATCATACAGAACAGTGAGTTTTGATCGCACAGGGATGAAACCTATACCAATAGAATCTGTGGACTCTCAGCTTTTCATATGATATAGTTTGTGCAGATAGCATGAAGTATAAAATATCGCTAAGAGTGCTGATTTAAACACTTGGTGTTAGACTTGTGTTTTGTTTAGGTACAAATCTCTATCTCTCTCTCTCTCTCTATCTCTCTATAACTATCTATCGATCTATCCGTAATGTTCTGTTCTATGTTCATATAATTGTCTACATAAACAGACGACCCGGACTACTTCTCTCATTCCGAGTGTCCATCTTTATTCAACTTGCACGTAACCTGCACACATGCATTACGTCCTCAACGTGAGCTCAGTCATCCAAGATCTTGTATTCTCCAAGATGTTACACTATCTATAACTATCTATCTGTCTATATCTCTCTCTATCCATCTATCAATATATCTATATATCTATCTATCTATCTATCTATCTCTCTCAATCTATAAGGAACCGCAGTAGACAAAAGGCGTTGCTATAGCAACACGTCATGTTTACGCTGCATTTTCTATGAGGTAAATATTACCCGCTGGTGGATATGGGTATAAATGGCATTTTTTTTGCCGATTTTTTCAATCTGACTTCCTATTGACAATTGTTAACAACAGAGGGTGCTACATAACACACATTCAGGAAAAGTCACGGACTGGGAGACTTTAATATGTTATTGAAAAAAAGTTACATACAATCAAAAAACAGCTGCGGGTCAAATTTACCCGTTGGCGGTTCTAGTGATAAAAAAAAAATCATACATTTTCTTTTCACTGCAAACGGGTCCCACAGACCCAAACAGCACACAAAGGTTAAAGGTAAGCATATAATAATGTTAAAATGTGCTAAATATATACACTGCAAAAAAATTTAAAAAGAGGTGTAAAAGTAGCTCACAACTTTTTTTTTTTTAAAGTAGCTCTCATCCTAAAAAAGGTGGAGACCCCCGTTATAGAACGATACATTTGACCATTTTAAGCTTGGCCTACCATTTTATTGGAGATGAGGAACAGGTGGGGCTTGAAAAGGCCCACCTGTTCAAAGTGGGGAATGCCAGAAAAAGTTTGAGAACCACTGAGCTAAAGTGAACTATCTAAACACTCAGAGTCCTTTACCTCACTGAGCTGTAGTCATCAGCCTCTCAGTCTGACTGGAGAGGACTCTCCCTCCACATCATTGTAGAAACATCTTCTTCTTACATCTGTTAGAGCAGCTAGCACCAGATTCTAATAATAACAGCGCCGGTACCGGGCGGTGCGCCCTTCTCTCTCTCCCTCGCTCACTCGCATTTTGGCTGTGAGCTGCGGGCGCCAGATAAGCCAACATCCCCCATTTTCATCACTTACAGCGCCCATCGTACAGGGCAAATGAAATGTGTAACCGGGGTGAAAAGGGTGTTACATTTACTTAATAATGAATATTGTTACATCAAGGCCGAAAATTAGGATGAGCCCCAACGGTCAAAAATGTTTTTTTCCCTCCCAGAGCTACCAGCGCAGCGCCTCCACAGATCTGGCGCCCTAGGCGAAAATCAACGACAGTGCGACGGGCCGGCCCTGAGTTCATATGCAACTCGCAAATATCTTTCTCTCTCTCTCTCTCCTCTCTCTTTCTCAATGTTGGTACGCAAATGCGCCTTTTTTCAAATGACCCGGTGCTCTTTTTTTGGCGGAGGTGCGCATGCGCACCTGCGCATCTGTTATGTGCGGCCCTGTATATAGATGTTTTACTTTGTCTTTGCATTTCAGGTACAACACACGCCTTTTCACTGTTCAATTTCATAACCTGAAAAGTCAATGAAGTTTGTACATGTTGAAACAGACGTTCTTCAGCATCCGTCAGTCACACACACCGTGTCCTCAACACATATGACTGTTGTGGAAAGAACACAATTGATCTGTTTCATAAAAATAAATAACCCTTTATATATTGTTTAATGTACTGAAAATAAATCATAATACATACCCATCCTGGCAGCTACAAGGCGAAACTCCTGCCGCAAGGCATTCTGGTCATCTGCTGCAATGTCCAGACGTGGAGGGAAGTCCACGACAAGCACCTTTACAAAAGGACAATTCATATTGTAACACTCAATATTAAATGTCATTCACATTGAAAACATGAACAACATGCTTACGTTGGGGCAGCTGAGCAGGACTCTGGTCAGGAGAGAGCCAAAATCGGCACCAGCCGCTCCGGGGGTCCGGCTCTTTCCCAAGTTAATGCCGGGGGCCAGAACACAGACTGCATCGGGGGTCGAAGGCAGAACAGCTCCCTCAAACTCGCTCTTCAGAACCTGTGCGCCCCCCCCTGGTGTCGCCATGAGTCCGAAGGAAAGTCCCCCCCGAGGCATCTCCACAAATCCATCCACGACGGATCTGAGATGAGAGTCTCCAACCAGCAGCACAAACTGAAAAACATACCATTTATTTTGTTGATGAAATCACAACGTTTCCACAAACAATGTTTTATTTATAGGGCCTTTATATTTCACATGTATTTGATATATGAATTATGTCCATAGTTATCACGCAATTAATCGCAAATGAATCAACAACAAATGTTATTATACTTATACTAGCCGATTACATTCATTTTATGATTCACTACATTTGTCTGACAGATTTTAAAGATTCAGATTAGTTGCCAATACAAAATATAAATCAACTAATAAAAAAAACATGTACATATAATTATTGGTTAAGACATCCAGCAGCAGTATATCAAGTTATTCAAATTATTGACACCTTTACCAGCTGTGATGAAAATATGAATACTTCAATAATCAAAATCCAGTTATTTAACATATATGATTCTGAAATGAGGCATCACAGAAAACGATTACTTCTGGTACTTTGAGTATGTTTTGATGCCAATACTTTGGTAATTTAAATTAAGTGAAACACAGGAAGTTGAGTAGAGTACAGTTTTACTTTTTCCCCTGGATATCTGTCAGGAATGACCAACTGGTGGGGATGATCAGTCAAGGAGGATGTCGGCCATGTCCGCGCTTCATGACGGTAACCTGTACCGTAACCTTCATTATCGGAAGAAACAACATTTATGGAATGGAGAAAATAACCATGAAAATCAGAAAACAAGTTCATTCTGTTGATGAAAGATTGGAAGAATGGGTCAATTATAGAACACAAAACATTAATAATGACCAGGTGGAAAGATCTGTCAATGAATGTAAGCCTGAGTGTGAATGTTTCATTTATTTAGGTAGCTATCTGTGTTTATTTGGTCACAGTATGTATGCCTTGTAATTCAATAATTTCTTAAAATGCAAATCAAAAAACTAAATTTAAAATAAAAATCGTAAAAAGACATCAATGTAAAATTACAGTAAACAGGAATTGTGCAAACAAATCAGAAGGAACACGTTTCTCTTTACATACATGTTGAACTGGCAGCTGGTTGGGCCTTTTGTACAGCCCAATTCTTCTTAGCAGCCTGAGATCGACGGTACGATTTAAGTCTTGGCATCTTAAGGAATTACCAGAAGAATTATTAAATCAGACACGCATTACAAAATACATTTAGCCAACAATAATTGGATGTTGATATCACTGCTATTATAACAATAAAGGCTTGAAAACTATACATACAAATGAAAACAGACAACAAAATGTGAAATGTTCAACTGGTGGAGAGAATAACAACACATATGAAAGGTGTGATTGTATATCAGGGTTATTCCCACAATTATAAAAAGTTATAAAACCAAATATTCCCTCCTGAACTCTACCTTAATTAAAATATTGACTAATATGAACTAGTTTTTTATTTTATTTTTTTTTATTTTTAAATCGTTGAAAAAACTGAATACCCAGTGGCGAGCCGTCAGGGCCTAAAAAATAATATTTGAAAACATTAAAAAACATATATTTGTCATTAGTTTTACCAAAATAACTTGATTTAATTGTATTTAAAATAACATTTCCACAGAAATAAATCCTTCAAATCTGCCTGTTCAGTTTCTGTTGGAATGTGAAGGGTTAAATGCCGTCTCTGCGAGTTATGTGAAGACGGGAGAGCTTGTTGGTTCCTCTCTACATTCACAGAGGGCCAGCTATAGTAACTCAACGAGAGAGTAATGTCACATGACAGTACAATTGAATTGACCAATCATATCTTCCCTCTAAATGGGTGGGCTTTATTTTCAGAGGGCCTAGGTATAAAAGTCACGGCTCACCAGTGTGAAAACCACTACGCTTTTTTTTTGCCTAAGACCACATTACATTTGCTGTAAAAAATATATCTCTTAAGGACATTATATTATTCGCATGAGGCAGACGTGTTTATATTTCACTCAGTCAAATTCCTATAATAGAACCAGAGAGGACGTGTTGGCACTGCAGGACACCAGGGCACTTGTGCTGTGGTTTCTACAACACGAATGAGGTCTTGTTATCAACAGTTTAAGATGTTGTCCTACACTAAACCACACACAGGGAAGCTTGCTGTGTCCCATAATCACTACAAATACTCCATTATTACTGCTGGGGAGTACCGGAAGTCAAATATAGAGATATAATAGTTGTTAAAACCAGTGGTGTAAAGTAACTAAGTACATTTACTCAAGTACTGTACTTAAATACAATTTTGAGATACTTATACTTTACTTGAGAATGTCCATGTAAATGGTGTACTTTTACTCCATTACATGTATTTAATACCTTTAGTTACTAATCAGACCCGGCGCCAGAACAAATCTACAGAGAGGGCATATGATTTTCATGGGAGGGCACACAAAACCGTCGTGTGCCGCGGCCAGTGGTGGTGCCAGAGATTTGTTGGAGGTGCTGTGGAGTAGCTTGACGCTTCATAGAGGGTGCTCAAACATGTAGGGTTTCCCATCAATGTACCGGGCGGCGCTACAGTGGAATTTTCTACTTAGGGCTGCTCAATTAATCTTATTTTTAATCGCAATTACGATTATGGCTTGCAACGATTACGAAAACAACGTAATCGAAATATAACGTTTATTTTTTTATTATTATTATACATTTTTTAATTTATTGATTTTTCAGTTGAGTTATACTTAAAGTTCAGGGTGATCAACTGTTAAAAACATACTGTTCAAACATTTTTTCTCCAATAAATTGATGTTTTCAAAGTAAATGGATAATAATTTTTAATAATCGTGATATCACTTATTGACCCAAATAATCGAGATTATGATTTTTGCCATAATCGAGCAGCCCTAGTTTCTAGCAAAACATTTTTAAGAGATGACATGAGCAGCCCTACCAGCATTTGCGATGGTGGCCAAAACATTTTTATTTGGTCTTAAATTGTAGTTCAACATTTATTTCCTGTTACTTCTGGACCATGACGGTGGGCCAGCCTTTAATGTTTAACTGAGTGGAATGTGTTGAATATGTTTTACCAAAATGTTGGCTATATGTTAAGGAGTATTCAGGTTGTGACAGTGCACTGCAACATGTTTGTTGATCTTGTTTATTGGTATTTATTATTTTTATATTATTTATTTAAATGTGGATATTAATGTATAATTTATTTTTATTTTATATTGGTTTTTCAGTTGATTACCCTGAACGTGTAATTCAACAGTTAAAAATTCAAATTATTATTTGTATTTGTTTTAAAGTACAATAAATGGATGTTTTCAATGTCAATGAATAATCGCATTTAATAATCGCAATTACAATTATTGACCCAAATAATCGATTATGATTTTTGCCATAATCGAGCAGCCCTAGTTAGAGAGCAACATGAAGAGATCTATGGATACATCTCTCAACACCCATATGAAACAGAACTGTAAACAGATTTATTTTTCTTTATGGATATTTTACAAATCACTCCCCTTTATAACTGTATTCGTATTTTACTGTCGTATTTCATAACTGTTTTTCATGTATTGCTCTTATATTACTATCTGACATCACATACATCGTAGCATTAAAGTTCAGTTTATTTATAATTAAAAAAATAAAAACGTTTTTTGTTTTACTTTTTAAAAATAATAAAAAACGTGTTTATTGGGGGAGGGCAGGAGTGTGGCCCTCCCACGGCGCCGGGTCTGTTACTTTACAGATGTGGATGAATGATGTGAAATATAACCAAGTGTTAAATCAGACTTTAGTTCCACCTGGAGTAAATCCACCAGCTACCCTGCAGTATACAAAATCATTGAAACTAGCTGCACCTTTACCAGCTTTGAGAACACTTTCCCGATCAATCATTATAAAACATATCATATATATTATTCTGAAATTGACTAATCTGCACATATTTAGATACGTATATTTAGATGTCATACTTGTGTACTTTTACCTGAGTAACATGTGTAATGCAGGATGAAGAACTATAATCTGCTTCTACAGAGCTCTGCCGGGACCGTTTCAAACTCCGGTTGCTCCTCTGCTAATATTATATAGAGACATTAATTTTAATAAATGTTTGTCAACTGTTTCTAAATTAAAACACTATCAGAAAAACTTACCTCGAGGAGCAAAGAAGAGTGGGGTCCATGGGTGTTGATTGGTGAGACACGAAGGTAAATTCTTCTTCGTCTCTTGACCGTCCCAGCGCATGGATGTATAATAAGAACAGGATACAGCGTGGGAGGCGGGGCCTCATTCATTCCTATGAGAGCTGCTCATTAGCGCATGATGATAAAATGGCCCAACTTTTGAGAGAGTGAAACGTCACAGATTACCCAGCATGCCTGAGAAGTACCCGTATGTGCACTCATAGAGCATGCGCAACTTGAACCAAAATGCTCGTTCACATCAAGCACGTTAATTTGCGTACACGTAACAGCACCGCGCGTTCATGACAGCATGGTAATGGTTTGTTGTTATCATGGATTTGATATGAACGAGGCGGCAGTTAGAAGCTAGCTAGTAATGATGCTAATGTACACATCAATCGTTATGTACTTATATTACGCTGTAACAGGATCTAGTGATATCCAACAGAGCTTCATTTAGCATGAAATAATTATTGCACTGTATATATATATATATATATATATACATATTTATATACAGTGCAATAAGCTTCTTAGTGCAATACGAAGCTACAGGGACGTTAATAATGTCGGTAATATTAACTTTATTTAATACAACATTTACGGTACAAGATTTAATCATACAGCCCATGTAGTATGATAATGAATTACAGCAAACATGTGCAATATATCCATTATTACAGCTCCGTGGGATGGCAGTAAGACGATATGGATCCGTTCTTATTGTGCATCCATGGGTAAAGATAAACGCAACTCACATTGGCCTTTAACGGCTCGTTGTAGCTCCAATAGCTCCTATGGAGAGGCGAAGTCACGCCCATCTACTTCCGGACCATGGGACCCCGGAAGCGAAAAATTTACATTGAATTCAATGGAGAGAGAACACGTATCTTTTGATCCCGTTTGAATTGTGCCACGAACTACACATATGATGTTTGTCAATCTTAAACAATCATTTCCATGTCAAAAAAGTCACATTTTGTCGTAAAACTGCTGAAATATAAGACTATGAAAAATACGCTACTACAAAGACTACAAATCCCAAATCCCATTCTGGGTCGCGTAAGTGATGTCACAGGCATGCTCGGTGATTTATAATAAGACTCGTAATTAAAGCGAAGAAGAAGAAGATCTCATAACTGATTTATTCCCTCCAATAAATTATAGATCGCTAAAAATAAATTCACTTTTACAAGATGCCTGTGTGCTTTGTACCAGGTTGTAGTCATAAAAGTGATCATACCACTTGCTCCTTCTATCGATTCCCGTCTGATGAAAGGACCAGGAGTCGCTGGATCAGACATATCAGGTAATATCATAGGTAATATACATGTTGTGCATGGAACATAGTCAAGTTAGCTACCTAGCTAGTAGCGACGAGTAGCGAGCACGTTAGTTAGCATTACATTACTTAGCCTTGTCATTTTTAGTAGCCTTACCATGAAGTTATTATTTTATTACATGAAGTAAACCAAAATGTTAAACAGTAACCAAACATGATGGTAAGTATTTCGTGAAACTTTTGAAGAGTAGCCTACTGCGCCCTCCACCGGGTGCTAAGGAAGCAGTTCAGGGAGAGTCGAAGGCAGGCATGGAGCTTTGCATGACATTCTTCTGGACGTGTTTCATTGTGATGACAATCTGTTTGTTGGAAAGACAGTCGTTGTGTGCTTATTGAGAGAAAATTGTTAGAAGAGATAATTATTCAAAGTGTTGTTACTTTAAAGTGTTGTTACTGACCTTTTTCTCTTTTATTTTCTTTATCTCACCTGTAACTGCTGAGACGTTGAGGAACATGCACACTGACCTGCTCTGGCAACCTGATTTCCACTGTACGTAATAGTATTTGGTTATGGTATATTATTTATATACATCAAAGGCACAATGCACCCCCCAGAGACACACATGTATTGAGTGTGATATTTTGCATAGGTCATGTGAAATCATCTTTACATACTAGAAAACTGTAGGAGCGGCAACTTGTTTTGAAATTGAATTTTTAATATCCGATAATAAAGTTGATCTGTTTTCTTTATTCTTCTCTCTTCCCAGCTCCATCACCATTCTCTGTTCCTGCAGGTCCTGCTTGCTAATCAATGCTCATATTTTTTTACACAATTACAAATAAAGTCATTGTATTGTATGACATGAAGTTGTGCTTCATTCGGAGTCAATAATAAATTCATTCTGCCTTCAACTGCACAATGATTGTGGACTGCACCGACATCCATGTAGCTGCCCCCCAGTAAGATGAACCAAGCAAAGAGGGTCACCATCATGCCCAAGGATATCCAGCTGGCCCGCCGCATCCGCAGAGAGAGGGCTTAGACTGACCTGAGACCAGCACACCCAAACACAACAGCTCTTTTAAGAGCCACATACATTTTCAAAGAGTTGCAATCCTACGTTATTATAATGATTAAACTGGTTCATGTATCACTTAGTTTACTGAACCGTGATGAATGAAAGAAATTAGTGAGGTAGTGGTTTACTGAAGTTACAAAGACATTAATATATGAGTAACAGGTCAGTGTAAACACAAGCTTCTGTCAATTATGGATCATTCAAACTATTTATATAAAAATATGTAATAAAGTTCTAAAACAAGTATTCGGTATATTCCTTGATAGCTTTTGGAGAAGGTTGTTTTTAAGTGTACTAAAATCTATCGTTTCAACTGTTTCACTTTATAAAAAGGGAACAGGTGAGTAAAGCATCATTGAGTTTCTTATTCTGTCAGTAAATTATCCAAATGAATGTTTTTCATTATTTTAGTCAACCCTAAACAAATTGATTGCACCTTTTAATGATGACCTTACATGGTCGGCAAAGTTAAATTAACTTCAGAAAATCAAATCTGTTCTGAGAAAAAACTAATAAATGTTTAAAGATAGGAACTTGCCATCCCACTGAAAAACAGTCCGTAGAGATTTAAAGGCGTAGTTGTAGTTCAGTCCAACGTTTCATTTGGATTCATTTGACAACAGTCAACTATTTTCATAAAGAATATATATATTTTTCAAAGTCAACTTTATTGTCAATCTTACTCAGTTTGAGAGATCAAAAAGACGTTTAAATACAATTATACAATTTACAGATATGTATACAAATATATATATCCTATATACACCATCATGTATAATGATGGTGTATGATGTAGAAGGAAGTGTGGTAGATAACAAGTAAATATAGAGTTACATACAGATCCATGTTACAGCAAAAGATGGAATAACTCAGAAGCACGCAGTATAATAATAATTACATGCAACAATTAAATAACTGCTCAGCATCTCCACCACAATCCCAATCTGCTGTGTCCTGTTTTCCTCCCCTCTGCATAACACCCCATCACACATACGAAACACAACGCAGAGTCCGAGGGTGTTAAGAGTATGTTTATTGAAATGTCCTCCTCTCTACTGGCCAACACAGGGAGCATATGCTGGGTGTAGAATTGTTCCAGGAGGAGGAGATTTCCATGCCATGCAGGGTCTTTGGGGATGGGGATGATGATCGCCTCCTTCGTGGTCCACACAACAAAGTAGCAGAGACTCCGGTCTGTGATATGCAGCTGCCCTTGGACCTGATGCCAGTATGGGTGATTCTCCTTGAGAATATATGACCCACCCTCCTCATGGAGACAGAAGGATGGTAACTGGACTGCCTCCGCGATGGTCATGTTCCTCTGGCTGTGTGGACACTTCACCTCCAGCAGGACAGATGGCTGCACAAGTCCATCGGGTGATGCTCCCAAAACACCCGACTCACTCACAAAGAGACCAGACTCGATTCGAACACTGTCACTTGATAGGCCTCCACAAAAGCCTCCACAAAAGCCTTCACCCCTTCGGCTTCGTTTACAACCCCCCAGTTGACAGTTGGCGATGTCTCTGGCCAGTGGGTTGTATGTCTCCTCTCGCTGTTGGTAAAGTTGAGACACCGGCTGGACTACTTTTTAAGTGCCAGGCTTCCTCCACTGGCACTCAACATCTGTGGAGCTGATCTGCCACATGGCAAATATTGCCAATGCTGCAGCGTGGCTGCATTTGTACATCCCCCGTGCACAATCACAGACAGCGCTCTGCATCGCGCCATCGTCTCCCATGCAGATCTGTAAAAATAAAGTAAATACCATTTGTTAGCATGCTATAATAGATTGAATGAGCAATAATACAAGGATGGTCCGGATCTGGGGGTGGGAGGGTTTATTTTTCCATAGTTTTGTCCTCTTGTCTGTTGTTATTGTTTGTTTTTTCTGTATTTTTTGTAATTTGTGTTGTATTGGTTGTGATTGTACATTGTATTTTTCTAAATGTGTATGAATACATTTTTGAAAAACATTTGATCAACAATAAAAAAGGATTTGGTCAGGATCTAGACTCAGTGTGTAGTTTATTAATTAATCAATGCTCTCTACATTAGGAAAACACATACCAGTGTACCAGAGGGAGTCACACACAGCTGTGCCTAGATAACCAAAATCCTTGAATCTACACACAGCAAATAAAGTCAAATGACACAACGAGAAAAAGGAGATCACACATACAGTATAATCGATATAAAACTGGCCGCTTCAATCTGAAGAGCAACTAAAACAAAACACGGGAGTGTACCTTGTTCTTGTGAACACTAATGTTATCCACAGCATACACAGAGACCACGAAGTTCTTAAGGAGAAAACTAGTTGCTAAAACAAAACACGTTAGTGTGCCTTGTTAGCTAATGTTAGCTAGCTGACATTAACGTTAAACATTGCACTCATATTACTCACCGAAACCTTGTAAAGCCGGTCCCGCATGCTGGCTCTTGCAGAACCGACTAACTCCCCTTTCATATAGGTACAGCTCTCAACTTGCCCAGACTTGTAGTGATTTTCACCTCGTAAAATAATTGTATTCTCATTCTGAAAGAATGTGGTGAAATGTGCTAACGTGACGGCCATCTTTATGTTGGTGACGCGTATTGTGCGAGACCAGAGACCTGTAGTTCACTGAGCGGTTTCACACAAACAAATGTGTAACTTCACAGTTTTACGACACATTTTTATTTTTTTGACTTGCAAAATGTTCTATTAAATTGACAAACATCATATGTGTCATTCGTGGCACAATTCAAACGGGATCAAAAGAT